ACCTGTGCAAAACAACATGCTTCGCATTTCATCATTACTATATATACAGGGCGACTTCCAAATACCGACAAACTTGGTCTAAGCACTTCAAGGTACAGGCGAGGATCTAGAGGGAGGAAGGAAGGATGGCACACTTCCTTTGACTTGTACATATGCCATTGTGATTAAAACTACGTAATCCTCAAACCGCCTTCTTGTGTTGTGTTACAAGAAGGGGCAGGGTTACGTAAACTGGTGCCGTGACTCGGATCACCTTAAGGAGCGAAGGAGAGGGACCCCAGGAAACAACTAGGATCGAGGGAATTGGTCCCGGGACTCGCAAAAAGGTGATTCTTTGGGTTTTTGCAAGTACTCACGTGAGCAAAATGGCAGAATATGCACAATTCTTACAAGGGTTAGCGGGAGAAATAACAGGGCAGTTATCAGCAGTAACTTCAACATCAGGGGCAGTTAGCGATGTTATCCATAGGTATCTACAAGACCATGATCAAGCAACAAGGCAGATTGTAACCTTGGCAATAGTCGTAGGTGCTCAAGGTATCGCTAATTTATTCCGTTCATTTGAAGGGGATCCAGCCATGTGTTAAGCGTTGGCAAAGACTGCGTAATGTTTGGTCTAGATAAAGTAAAACTAGTTGTGGAAGTGATCAAACGCGTACAGAGGTATGCTTAAGTTTATACCGGATTATTAGGGAAGTTATCATGGTTATTGGCAGCATAAAAGAAACTGAAAGTCGATTTTGTTAAATAGGCTAAACAAATTATAGGGATGAGGGAAACCTTAAAACGCGAGAACAAGGTTCATATCAAGAACAGAATAGGGACACTGTGAACACAACAGGAAATTCATTAATGCTAAGACATACATGTGGCCCAGGTCCGGTCAAAAGTATGCTAATATAGTTAGGGATTGTAAAAACATAAAGGATCTAGTTATGAGCTCGAGGATCAGTTCTTGATCGCGGGTTGCGTCAAGGGTGTACTGACATGATAACAGTGATGATCAGTATTTGGTCGCGGATAGCGACAAGAGAATACTGATATGATTAAAGAGATTGCCTAAACAGTCAGAACTTATGGGACAAACTATGGGGCACACAGGGGAACACATAACAGAGGTTTAAACACCGAACACTCCTTCTCATGATGACACTGATTTGAAGGAGGAGGAGGGGACAACATTCCGTATAAATTAAGCTGGTAGCCCGAGCAGTGGTAGCTGGTACAGTTAAGATAGGAAAGCAAGTCATCCGAAACTTACAGAAAGCATGACAAACAAGTAGAGTCCCATGGTTCAGTTGTGGAAAGTGGGTCATTGCGACCGCTGAACAACTAGACTTTACTATAGTATGTAAAAATGTATATCCGCAGGTAATAACTATTTACCCACCAATAGGTATGTTACGATTAAACGTCTCTTGTACAGCTTCAAACAATCATTTGACATTACTTCCATTTTATCATAATGAAAGCAGTTTTGAATTAAATAAGGTCTGGGCTCAGCTACCTCATATGCCAAACGTTTCCGATATGCTGTTATGGAAACTCTTTAAGGAAAAATTCAGAAATGTGACGATGTCGAAAGTTCCAAACCACCTCCAGAATATAGAAACGGTATCCATGAGTCATTTAATTGATGAATTACATAGTGTTAATACTGAAATTAGTTGGGAAAAGAAATTAACTGGAAATGGTGGTTAGTTGGGGGTATCATGTTACTAGTCATAATATTATTGATAATGGTTTTAAGATATAGAAAATTTTGGCTATCCAAAACGCTCACTTTGGGAAAGCACACCCGGGAAACACCCGAATTCGAGTTGGTGGGATCTGGGCCCACTTGCACAAAGCGATCTTAGCGCTAAGATGATCGTAACTCCCATACTTTAACATAGGCTTACAATAGTCGTAGTGCTAAGATCGCTTTGTGCAAGTGGGCCCAGATGTGATCCAGGTCGCGAGTACCGACTCCAGGGGGGGCTTAGCTTCTACACCACTGATGACGGGGGATCAGACTTCGACGCCGACAACGACGTCATCAATACGACGCCTGTACCCTGGCCTGGATGCCCACTACTAAACAGTACAGTGTTGCAGTATGTTGCTGCATGAACTAAGATGAACAGGCTGGTGACGAAGATGGACGGCGGCCATATTGGAACTTGTGGTGACGACCATAAAGTTGAACTAAGTTGAAAAGAAGAACACAACGCAGAACTGACGATCACAGATGACCATGATGGTGTGTCTGTAGCCGGTCGAGGGCCAAGATTGTGACGAAGTGACATTTTAAAAGCGATTAAGTCCGGTCACGGACAGCATGATCGTTGTAAAATATTTACACTCTTTCTTGTATATGTATATATGGAACTGTGTATATTTTTAAGTAGAAAAGGGCGGATGTAACACTATCAGTGTTTGCCAGATACGACTGACACCGTGGATATGTCAAGTACATATCAAGTGGACCAGTGAGTGGTGGTTTCATGTCACCTTAGGGGGAACAATTTTAAGTGCCTCGTCATGGACATGCACATGTGTAAATACACCCCCAATTCATGTTAAACATGTAACATAATCATACCTGCATATTGTAATATTCATTCAATTGGAGGAAATAAAGAATATCTATTTATCATATGCCATTGTGATTAAAACTACGTAATCCTCAAACCGCCTTCTTGTGATGTGTTACACCTTCCCCAAACACACTCGCGTGATAACCTCTATTTATCATATAATGGGTAGGTTTCTCGGCAGGATAAAGCCAACGGATAAAAACGATATCCGTTGGGGTCATATGCGGATAGAGATGCAAATATCAAAGGTCAAGTAGGGACTACTTTCAGTGTTTATAAACAAACATGGCGTCGCCCTCGTCATTCGGCGATCGAGTCAGAATTAGTGAGTGAGTGAGTGAATATTGCTTAACGCCGCATCAGCAATTTTGCAGCTATTCGCGGCGAGAGTCAGAATTAACCATCGGGAATCTGGATAAACTACAGAGATCATTGCTATCATTATCAAAAGTACAGTCTAATATACTGAAAATCAGTGTCTAACTGTGACGTAGTGAAGACATTTTATAAGTTTTGGCAACTTTCGAGAAACAATTTTGTAAGGGCACGAGGCGCTAGGCAGAAACAGTAGCCATATCTGTGCTTGTAGATCTCTGCGGCTTGAAACCTTCTCCACAAATTAAAATAGTTGGATTAGGCCCAAATATGTTTGAATTGTTACCTTGTTTCGTTTTGTCGCTGTGTGTACATCTGACTAAAGTCTAAAGTCTAAACGTGGCCGTGACGTCTCATAGACTAGGGTTAGAGTAGCTTCCCTTTGAAAAAGGGCAGTTACTCTAGCGGACAGACCGATGGATTGCCGCGAAAGGCAAGTAAAAACAATTGTTGTTTTGCGTATATGTTGCTTTGCCACTGTACACCTGTATAAGAAACAGATTTCAGTTGGAACTATATTGGCTACTGTCACTGTCCGACTGACACATCACTTACCCTGTGACGTAATAAATAATAATGCGCACATTCCAGGAAAACTCGCAATGTTTCGGTAATGTTTATGAGAGAGGGAAAGCGATTTTGAAGCACAGAATTAAAGAATGACATTATATGATAAAGAGGTTATCACGCTCGTGTATTTGGGGATGGTAAATATCATGTATTAGGAATAAACACTATGTATTTAGCTCGCCAAGGCTCGCTAAATACAATGTTTATTCCTAATGCAGGATATTTACCATCCCCAAACACACTCGCATGATAACCTCTATTTATCATCCCAAACAGGCCCCCACAGGAGATATGCCTGGGTGAGATCAAGCTATATCTACATTGTAGATATTGCTGCAATGAAATTGCATCACAATGCTTTGCAGACCTTTGTGACCTCATTGGTTAGCATGATATCACAATCAAATGACATCATGAATGGCTCTACTACTGAAGCTGTTAGCAGTACTTTTTACACTGCTTATTACGGTCTACAAACTGAAAAAGTTGGAAGAATGATGTTGGATGATAAATAAAATCTCACCCTCGTGTCTTTTCATATCAAACATATCAACACGAGTTGATAAAAGTGGAAAAACTCTGAGGCTTGTCGAGGAGTTTTTCAAATTTTGTTAACGAGTGTTGATATATTTATTAATATATTCTATGACATGCAATATATACCGGTATATAAATTTAATAAAAATGATATATAAATAAAATCTCACCCTTGTGTCTTTTCCACTTTTATCAACTCGTGTTGATATATTTCATATCAAAAGACCATGAAGACACTCGGGTAAGATTCTCTATATATTGTTTGTATAGACCTACTGTCGTAAATAACCTAAAGCAAATATGATGAATATACAAAGTCAGTTAACACAAGAACGCCATCATTAACCAGCTGTTACCATGACATTGGTCATTGTCAATAACCTGCACACTAAAACATGAAATGTATGACAGTGAATAACGAAATATATACTACACTAGTACTCACTAGGGTCTACTGCGTTCTGGGGATAAGATATGCACAGGAACTCAATGATAGCGTATATACACTGTATAGCATAAATAAATTTGTATAGAAATAAAATCACATTCCTCTATAGATCTATTGAGGGGTGTGATTTTTGTCTATACGAATATATATATGCTACACACGCTATCATCGAATTCCTGTCAGGAAATGTTTTCAAACCAAAACAGCTGTTGAACACGTACATTGACCGCAAATTACTTTTTTAATTAGGCCTGAAAATAATGTTAAATATTACCTTAGTGTTTGAGAAATCACATGTATATCAGCAGAAATTTGAGGTTAGACAACCAGCTTGAAAATGATATCTTGTCAGCTGATGCGCACTTGCAAAACGATCTCGTACCGAGTGTTATTTTATCCTTCAACCGTGTTCTCAAGCCGGATATTTACATTTGCCGTATTTACTCTTTCTTGACAGAGGGCAACTTCTGTCTGAAACAATTTATACAAACCTTTGCTTGTTGCTTAACCTCCTTCGCTTATCATACAGTCTTGTTCAAATATGTGTCGTTCCTAAATACATTTTGACTTGCTTCGTCTATTATTGGCAAACGGAAGACTCGGTGGTGCTTTGTCTAAGGGAGTTAACTCTATATGAACTCGACTCCCTTAATAACTAGGACTATATAGAGTTAGCTCCCTTATATCCCGTCGAGCCCAAGCTCCTTCCCAGCGCGTGACACCTTCGTTACACTCTCGGTAACATCGCTGCCACCAGTGTGGGCGCGGCCATTTCAAGAATCTTGAAATTTGCCCTCCAACCCCATATGTAGTAACGTTTATACTTTTGTTTATGTCTTTGGGAATGCCATCATATTTCAATTTGAAAAGGTTTACGACTGACCATGTTTTCCAGATGAATTTACTTTGTTGTTTTGATAATCAGATTGGTTCGAGATTGCAGACTAACGGAAAATCAACCAACTTCTCCCTTACATTCTTACTATATCAATAACACGATAGTTTTAATGAAACAGAAATTCAAATTGACAAACGAAGAAAGTAATTTAGCAGCGAAAAGTGTATTCGGCGTCACGACAGCCGTCACTTGTTTGTAAACATAACGGTCATTCGATTGCGAGTTCAACTCCAAGCATGGTTGTGACCACCTATTCACAGTGGGGAGTTTTGACTGGTGGCAGCGATAGTATAGAGAGCTCCGGGAACGTACTATCGCTGTGAGGAGCTTGCCGTCGAGCCCTGTTAAGTCGTATTTCATTTCATTTCATATGTATATATATATTATACAAAACTTTATCAGACAATGCTCTTAATAAACTAGAATATAGGGCTTGGGTTACCTTGACTGACGAAGTTTTGTTTCAGTTTGGTATGAGTGGCTCTCACATAAAGTAATAAATAAGATATTTTGTTTTCAATGAATGCAAACAACGGATAATATATGTACTCACTCAAATATGACGAGACCAGTTCATGTCGCTCATTGAAACAAGGCTGTATTTAGAAATTGAATATTCCCTTAATATTAAACAATAGTTATCATTAATTGCATGTAATAGAATATACAATAGCTTTAACTCGTATAGAACGGGTCCCCAGAAGGTAGTTTTGGTTGATCCGGTTGATCCAGGCGGATGCGAAGGTGATTGGCTGATCCAAGTCACGTGATCGGATAGGATGACTCATGCATCAACAGCGCGTCGGGAAAGGGTGGGGAATGAAAGGTGTGTGTTTATAAGACAGAAAAGAATTCGTAAGTAAACAAAAGTAAAGGGTATTCAATAGAGCTATGTGTATGGTGTGCTGCCCTGAATAGACAAGCAGCCCAGTTTGAATTGAGCGCGCTTGACAACTCACGTGACCACGTCGTTTCAAATTGTTTATTGGTCGTAATAGTTTCGTTTATTTCAGGCGTTAGTAGAAATTACAATTAGCGTACAACTAACGTAGTCGTTTCAAATTGACCGCGCTCGCTAGAGCGTGCGACCTGGTTTGATGAATGCAGGGTGTGTGTTGAAAGTACAAGTACCGCCATAGAGACGGGTTGTGTGAACATGATAACCCGGGTAATGTAAGAAAAAAAAATGTACGTCTAGCTGGATCAAATTCATCTTGTACGGTCTACACGTTGTACACCATGAACGTTAGACAACCTGTATAGAAAAAAAAAATATAGACAAAATAGATAAGACTACGCAATCAGCAAGCAGTGCAGTTTACGTTTAGCACGCAAGAACGAGCTAATGAATAGCAGAGAGACTAAGCGACCGGCCGCCCATAACAATGTCAACATACCCCGGCCTTACAATTAATGTTAACATAACAGCCTCGCCTGAAGCTTCCCATTCATAAATTGTGTGACCAGTGTCCCATATTTATGATACGTTAGGGAACATGTGTTGTACATTTGTTATTTTAAAAGGGAGTTATTTCAGAGAGGATATATATGGGTATTCCCCCTCATTAAACCTTTCTTTCGTTGGTGTCTATTAAACGTATCCGGTATTTAATACATTTGAATGATGTAGGAAAGTATGTGCGTGTAGATGTTGTACCTATATCCGAACACGAATGTATGACACCTTTCAATAGATCAATTACGGTTCTAACCACGACACGCAACATGACTATGAGCGTGGTTAGCAGTTCATATTTATAAACACATGGTAAATGACAGATTTATGATGAATGAACTCGCCCGCACACATGCCTATAGGGTTATGTTCGCCCGAACTGTAAACAGCGACACATTTGATAACAGGAAGGGTGTGTGGAATGCACTCGTCCTTGTAAGGGTAAAATACGCCTTTAAACTCACCATTTAAATGATGACATTACTTTTTAGATGTATTGGTATCAGTGAGTGAGTGAATTTAGTTTTACGCCACACTCGGCATTATTCCAGCTCTAGGACGGTGGTCTGTCAATAAACGAGCTTGGACCAGACAATCAAGTGATCAACAGCATGAGCAGCGATCTGTGCAACTAGGAAGCGATGGCACGTGTCATTCGAGTCGGCGAGACTGACCAACCGATCCCCGGCGTCAGTCCCCGATAAGCATGGGTTACTGAAGGTTGATTCTATAACCCGGACCTTCACGGGTGTAGTATGACGAAGACTATATACTAGCATGCAAAAACTGAGAAAAAACAAACAATTCATTCGTATCATTTATTGATTCGAGTCAATCGGTTCCATACAAAGCCGTGATATACGAATGGACAATAGTATTCACTCTGGAACATTATTTAGTCACTCATATACACATGCTGCTGCTGCTCGAAGGCCCTATTGTTTAAACAGCAAGTCCATGTTTTGAAACACATTTCGCACAGTTGAATGTTTCCTTGTCTACGCTGTTTTAAGGTTGAATGGTTGTCTATAGTCTATGCTTTATCCATTGCTTGTAACGATTTCCGTCCAGGAGGTCCCAGTTTCACAATTCCTCTCACGTAGAGGGAAATTCGGCGTTTCTTATCGTTCAAACGCCTCAGTTTACGAGGTGTTTTCAAAATATGAATCACACTAGACGCGTGGCGTTGACTCGGCATTCTCTTCTGACTATTAGACGGATATAGTAGTGATGGGTATTTATGCCTAATCGTTCTGCTCACGATCATCCTCCTCCTCGTCATCACCGTTGTTATCCTCTGCAACGCTATCAGATTCAGTCTCTCTTTCTATTTCCGGCATATCCATCAAAGGCAGGATCTCTTTCATCTTGGGTTTATGAGGAGTTTGATTTTATTTTTGAGAACGGATTGTTCCGTGGAAGGATTCATGTCTCCCAGGTTGTATAGCATGTTTTGAAACAGAGGTGCCTCTTTAAAGTACGTGGTATATTCCATCGCATAGTTGAGAGTACTACGCACTAGATCCTCCCACCTCAGTTTCAATCTTCTCTCAATCCATTCATGCATTCGTCCCTGTCGCTTGTACTGTTTTTTCTGCAGTTTCATCTTGTCATGAAACGTATCGTACACCTGCTTCCAGATGCGTTGTAAGCCTACATTTTGCCACTCCTCGGCTTCCATATTAGTGAATGTTGACTTCCCACGTGGAGGTTTGACGGCAAGACCACTGCCTTTCTGGGAAGAGGCTAGGTCGTCAAAGTCACTGTCATCGTCATCACTCTCGAGTCTGGCACGCTTTCTCTTAGGTTGAAGGCTATTGGCCGGACACCAGTGATTGATATGTCGCTGTAGATCGTGCATGTAATCTATCAGCACCCCGCAATCTGCGCAAGCCGTGGCCATAGTCAATGATGTCTCACTACTCATGTCTGAATCGGTTTCAATTGGAGTGAGCTGATGTTGGGGCAATCTCTCTTCTTGTGACAGAGGACTATCCAAGGATTGTGTTGTAGTCAACTTCTCCCTACGCAGATCAGGTTCAGACTGTGCTGTTGTTCTCCTGTTTTCCTCATTTATGAGGTTAACATGCAGTCGATCCTTATCTTTGGTGGTAGGTTTTAGATCGATGGTGAGTTGTCCATAGGGGATTTCAGCAACCTTTTCATACATAGCCATAAAGTGATCCATATGTTCGGGGAAAATTCTACGAGTGAAGAGTTTGATTTGCTGTTTATCTATGGGGGAATGAAACAGGGTGACATAATGCGCGTTCAAAGCAATGTCTCTCGATTCCTTACCTCTCTGAAACAGATTTTGTATCAAGAGAAAGATCAATACATTCTTGTGATGTGAGGTTTGAGTAAACAGCTGCGAAATACGCTTGTCGTGCTTTCCTTCGGCGAGGAAATCATCCAGGACCAACACGTTCTGTTGACAAGCATCAAAGTAATCCTCGTCCAAGATATCGTAGGGAATTCCTTTGACGAAGGTCAGCTGAGGCAGCTGCTCACCGAGGTCCTGATATAATGGCTGCCATAGAGTATAACACCAAACGATGCGGGTAGGTTGGGGTTGGATCAGGCCATGCCGGAGTACATGAGAGGTAAACACAGACTTTCCACAACCACTGGGTCCCACAACGAGCGCATTTGAGGGAATCAGGAACTTGAACTGTTCTCGAAGATCAGATATACAAGGTAAAATAGGCAGCCACGAGTGGACTTGCGATGGCGACGACGACGGCGGATGTGCTTGTAACGGCGGGTTGGCTTGATGCAGCGGCGGCGGTGGGTGGACTTGCGGCGGCGGCGGCGTTAGCGGGTGGGCTTGTAATGGCGAATGGACTTGCGGCGGCGGGTGGGCTTGTAACGGTGGCGGTATGCTATGTTTATTTCTCCTGTGTCGTAACATGACATCTCTCCTTGAAAACATTTTTTCACAGTCCGGACAGGTGGCAACCCCCATGGTGATCCAATACGGTGTGCGATTAGAGGGTATGAAGCTTTCTTTTGACGCTTCAAGGCAGCAAGTGCCCGTTCCACCACAGCCTTCACCTCCGACACATGTTGTATTTTCACGGGTTGGGGTGTTGTCTTCGATCCCTGTTTGGTTGTCATCGTTTTCATTTTAGGTGTTACCTGTCTCTTCTTTGTCTTCAGCGTCGACTTCTTGGCTGCTTGTGGTTTCTTTCTCTGTTGTGATTTTCTCAACGTAGTCTTCCTAAATATATCTCTAGGGTCAAGTCTAATCTCTGATGCTTTCTTCATGT